CTCAAGGTCTGCATGGATCATGTGGCTTGCAGGAGCCCGCTAATGCACTGAAGCAGCAGCTCTCAGGCACACCCTGACTCCATCACTTTCCTCTGCTGGCCTAAACGCATTTTGCAGTGTGTGCTGTCTGATGGACACAACGCATGATCAAAACTCAAGGATTTCATATAGCAGGAATGTAGTGTGCAACTAGGGCTGGGTGGTTTTTAGAAATTTCAGTGCCATTACCCTTGAAGTGACACTGACACCTTTTTTGCCTACTTCATTCAATATGAATCATGTGAATGGAAGCATTCAGTTGTGTATGATGCCCCCAGACACCACAGGCGTGTAGTATAGCCATACTTCAGAATATTTTGGTAGCATCTTGGCAGGCTGACCTGCCAGCTCTGTCTAATACAGCATGCTAGACTTAACCACACCACCTGCTGTGTGGGTTGTAGCTACTGCAGCATTCGTTCATACCAAAGGATCAAATGCAAGTATTGTCTGACTGGATAAGTTTTGATACTACTTGGTATTGGGTTATTTCAGTAAATACCTTAAAGGACTGAGTAACAATACCCATCCCTCTGAGCAGCTATATATTTCTCACATGCTCCAAACTGACTTGAGATTGATTTTACGGCATGGACAAATCTGGATTTGATACATTTTTAGTCTAATAGCAGAAATGTGGATAGACTAGCGATAATCAAGTGCACCATTATCAGTATCTGTATCTGTACTTACTGTATTGTCACACAGCGCCAAGTATCGATTTTTTAATAATATAAATTATTAATATCATAAAGAGAAATTAAACTTTAGTTAGCCTATTAGAATAATATAATCAGTTGCCTTTTCATTCCAATAGATACATTTTGCTGCTGGAAAAAAAAAAATGGCTGAAGTTAGATGAAGAGACTGAGAACTCATTAAACAGATGTTTTCCTCTGGGGACATAATTTACAGTTGAAAAAAGGTAATACTTTGCACAATATTTTATCACAATCCTGAGCATATCGAGACATATTTAAAATTGCAATAATAATGTATCTAGACTTTAGTATCATGATAATATTGTATCGTGAATCCTGTGAAAATTCCCACCCCTAGTAATTGGTAGTTTGTATTTCAAGCCTGACATTGATATGGGTTGACCAAAAGTTGCTATATAGACCCGTTCACGGTTTGTACACAATGATGACGTAGTACGTATGCGCGCGCATTTTGGCAACGGAAGTATGGCGGAGATCGACAGTTTGTCAAGCTATGCAAGGGGATTATCAACAAAAGATCGCGAATGTTACCTCAACAAGTTGACTTTGACAAATGGTGTCCGACTTCCAGATCCGTGTGCTATTAATGAGTGGGTTGAAGACGTTAGCAAGTGGCCGAATATACAGTGGCCAGATATATATACGTATTTAATTGAGAAACCGAGCGTGTACACCAGAGAGAAATTACGAGCCTATAAATCGCTGGATGCTTATGAGTATGTTGTCTGTGGTCATGTACAGAACGTCAAATACCATGACATAGACTCAGAGTTTTGTGTGTTGAAATCAGAAATTCTCCCTAGTCAAAGACAAGGACACAAGACAACGATGTATGAGGCTTGGGTTATAATCAACCAACGAGAAAACTACGTCCTCACAGCGAATTGCACCTGTATGGCAGGGTAAGTAACCTATTATTTGGTGTTGTGGGCTTGTAGCTAACATAGTTCAGAGCTCTGTGATATAGTGGTTATGCAAACATGAATTATGCTTCTGTTTTACTGTCCTTTCAGGTTATCATTATGGATCAGCCAGTATGTTTATTATGTTTTTGTGAAATTTCAGGCTTGGGTCATGCTGCAGCCATGCAGCTGCAATATTATTCAAAGTTGAGCTCTATGTTAGGATGGGAAGGACAGAGAAAGCAGCAGTTACTTCTGGAGTGTGCATGTGGAAAGACATCAGCAGGAAAGAAGTCAGACCAGCTCCATTGAGGGAAATCAGCTTCCACAAACCAAAGAGGCTAGGCAGGCAGCTTCCAGCAGCTTCAACATCTGCTAGGAAGAATAGTATCACACCCAGAGGCATGTAATAGTTGACAGAGCCTAGATAAGTTTCC